TATATATTATATACATACATGTATGTGTGTATGTATGTATGTAATATATATAACACATATATTACATACATGTATGTTTGTAATATATATTACATACATACACACACACATACAGGTGTATGTGTGTGTGTGTGTGTGTGTGCATATTCTGGTTATTTAACCCAGAGCCTTGCGTATCTGTCTTTATCTAATTCTAGCATCACAATATTCTCTAAAACGATTGTTTTAGCAAATAGTAATAATAGTTGCCACATTTTCCCACTGGGGGAAACTGAGGCTCAGAGAAAAGATGAGGTTCAGTATAACTTGGAGATAATATGTGGCTAAAGCTCTTTTTATGAGGAGGAAAGAAGAACAAGGCTTTGCCCTGAAACCAGATTCAGGCAGTCTAACTCCAGAACCTGGCTTCTTTACTGGAACCCTTCCTTGGTCTTCACTATTTTGCTGGACTAGGGGAGGAGGGTGATCATTGCAAACAACTTTCATTATCTAATGATGGTTATATACTCTTGTGATGGTACATACCTAGAACTTTATGCTCAATATCAAAAAGACTCATAATTACCCTTGGCCCCCAAGTAAAAGACTCTAGGTCTGGACCATGTGCCCCGCTCAAAAAATCTGCAATGAACTGAACCCAGATCTGGCCTATAGACTCACCCCCTCTACTCCACATTCTATGGCACTGCTTTCATTAAGTCAGTTTCTATCCAAAACTATTACAGTTTCCTATAATTCTAAATGCTGACATTCTAGTTCCTTCCATGAATTCACTCCAACCTAACTTAAAAAACAAACAAACAAACAAAAAACCAGAATGCTCCTTAATTTATAGAGGACACAGATTTTGTGTGCTTATAGCCTGCTCCTTTCACTTTATTTTATTTATTTATTTGTTTGTTTGTTTGTTTGTTTATTTTTATGTGGTGCTGATGATGGAACCCAGTGCCTCACACTTGTGAGGCAAGCCTCTACCACTGAGCCAAAACCCCAGCCCCCCAAACTAACTCTTTTTTGTGTGTGGTGCTGGAGATTGAACCCAGGGCCTTGTGA